GGGGTTCAAGACTATCATTGTTTATACAGTTCCGAGATCATAGAACGCGAATAGATCGAATTTTTTTTTCTTTGGATTTCATTAAATTCTGTAAAATGTTTAAAATATATACGAAAATTGTTCATTGACAAAAATTTTGTCAATGATATTTTTTGGACAATCAACCGATTTGAATCGCACTTAATGAATAGAACTAAGTACATTTGAAGTAAATTGATGTGTGTCTTGAAAAGTCATGCGAAAAATAAATGTTATGAAACTGAATGTCAAAATTTTCAGTGTTCATTAAACATACATTTCTGAACATGAACGTGCTATTAATAACTAACGACATGTTAAAAAGAATTTTGTAAATTTGGCTGAAAATTAAAAAAAAAAGCCATTCGGCAGCCGAAATGGAAGTAGATTTCATGATGAAAAGAATTAAAAACAACTAAAATTATAAAAAAAAAATAAATAACGTTCAATAAGGAAAGAGAAGAATTATTGTACTTCAGTACTTTTCAGTCAGTTCTGTATAGACAAAACGACTGCAAGAGTAAAATTTCTTAAAAATGATCCTAAGATGGATATTTTTTTGCTTTAGAAAAAAATGTGAGCTTCACATAAATTGAAGCTTAATTTCTCAGCTTTCAGATGCATTTTTACAGAAATCGAATAACTCGACGCGTTCAAAAGTTATTCGAAGGAGAAGTAGTGAAAGTATCAAATTTTCAAAATTTCAAAATTTTTAACTGGTGTAATTTCTAAACTATTTGACCGATTGAGCTCATATTTGAACTTGACCTTCCTAATAGTCGATAGAATAAGTGTGTTAAGTTTCATTGAGATCCCTTAAGAATTGTTGACGCTATCGTCGTGACAAGCCGCGTTATATCGTATATATATTAGGGTGGCGCAAAAAAACCGACTAATTTTTTTTTTTAAGTCTCGAGTGAAAAAATGTTAGTTTTTGATGTTTTAAGAGCCCTAACCAAAGGACAGCTCAAAAAAAAATTTTTAAGAAGTCACTCCAAATTTTTCAAAATTTCAAAAATCGTCAAAAATCGAATTTTTTTTTTTTTATTTTTTTTCTCGTTACGGTATAATTTTATAGACCAAAAAAAAATAAGTTTCTGGAAGTTTCAGTTCAAAATTTAAATTCTGAAAGGTCGCTCATAATTTTTTTTATTTTTCGTTAATTAGTCATATCGCCGACTTTAAGTGTTGAGAGTGGTACGTTGGGGTCTTTTTGGTTTAAAAAAATCTTAACCTACGCGGCAAGGTAAAATCTCAACCAAGCTGGTTTCTAAGACCAGCTTGGGATTCGAACTCACGCCTGGCAGTTGATTAAATAAAATTATTAAATTAAAAAAAATTATATTTTCTATGTTGTGCTTGATTTTTAGTTCATCTCGTGATGTATTCTTATCGATTATTGTACTAAATAAAAAAAAAAAAATGCATGGAATTTTAATTTTAATAGTAAAAGGTCGCTCGAAAAAATCTAAACTAATGCACTAATCAATTGAAAAAAACTATAAGCGACCTTTCAAACTTCGAATTTTGAACTGAAATTTTCAGAAACTTATTTTTTTTAGTCTATAAAATTATACCGTAACGAGAAAAAAAATTAGAAAAAAAAAAATTTGATTTTTGACGATTTTTGAAAAATTTGGAGTGACCTGTTAAAAATTTTTTTTTGAGCGGTCCTTTGGTGAGGGCTCTTAAAACATCAAAAACTAACATTTTTTCACTCGAGACTAAAAAAAAAAAATAGTCGGTTTTTTTGCGCCACCCTAATAATTATATATGATTTCCGTATAGTTGCACTGATAGAAGGATTTGTTTATATTTAATCAGCTTTATTAACTGTTAATAAATGATTTTTTTAACACCATAGGATTTAATAAATATTTATTAACAGTTAATAAATTATTTATTAAATACGATATTTATTAAATGTTAATAAATATTTGTTAACAGTTAACAAATATCTATTTAAAACCAAAAGCAAAAATAGCAATTTTCTCTTGACATTTCTTTAACTCATTTAGCTGGAATACAAGATGATAATTCAAATCACTAAATAAATTAACGTTTTTAATATTTTAAAATATAAAAGATAATTATGAACTGTAATAGAATTCGGTATATTACAATAAACGTTATTATAATGTAATATAATTAATGAAAATAATTTATAAAGATGATTTTTGTTTATAAGCAATCTTCATATGATATGACATTGCAAGTGAAACAAATTCACTCAACAAAATGTTTATTAACTTTTAATAAATATTTGTTAACTATTAATAAATGTACTTTTCTACCAAATAAATATTTATTGAATGTTAAAAAATATTTATTAAAATTTAATAAATTAAATAATTGTCTTCAAAAAAATTAAATTTCTAATAGTTAATAAATCCAATTATAATTATATGCAATTATATATAATTATACGTAATTGTATATGATTATTTAAAAATGCTGCATCTAATTATATATTATTATATATAATTTTATATGATTAGATATAATCATATATAATTATATGTAACTAATATATAATTATATTTAAGTAATACATAATAACATGTAATTATATATAAATTTTTTTACCCGGGATAATGGGCAATTATTAAAGAGATTTGGTTTTATTTTTAGTTCACTTCTATGTTAGAAATTAATAAATTGAAAAATTTCCAATTTTGCTTTTTATTCTCCATCGCTACTTTGCAAAAACAAATACTGTTTTTGAATAAATACTATGTAGAACATTATTTTTCAATTAGGTATTTAGCGGTAATGAATACAAAGGAATACATAGGGTAGAAGTACCGTTTTTGGCCAGTTAACATTTGAATTAGTTTATAAAAAATTATAATTTTATAACCATATTTTTGCTGACTTATAAAAAATTTATATTAAAACAAATTGAGTTTGTAATGGTTTTTTAATACAAATTCATTTCTATCGTTTATTTGAAGAATAAATGGCCATAAACGGCACAGTGGCCACAAACGGTACTTCTACCCTATGTTAAGTAAATATATTCTAATTTTAATTTCAATCTTTAATTTCTCACTTAGAAAATTGCAAATTTTCTAAAATCGAAAAGTTATATTTTATATATTGTTTCACATATCTAATTATATTATTTAATTTTAAAAATGCTTATCGTAAGATGGACGGTGTGGCTTAATGTATATAGAATAAGCAAAAAGGAAATTTGGTATAGGCCGGGTAGTCCAGTCCGAGCATTATTTAGATTTACACCATTTTTTAAATATGGTTTTAATAGTAATTTTACCACCTTATTACAATAAGTATGCCGCATTTTCAGCGTAAATATTTCGCATTTTGTGCGTAAATTATTCGTATTTTTACGGTAAATGTTCCGTAATGTTTCGATGAAAAAATTGACCAAAACAACTGAAAAAATGCTGAAAAAATACCGCATTAACACTGTATAACTACGACATTTTTTCGGCATTTACAAAACCGCTAGGGAAGGGCCAAAATTTCCCTTATTCCTGTATTTTGTATTAAGTCGGAAGAAAAGGACTTTGAAACTGCTATCGTTAGAACAAGTGAAAAGCTAGTATGGTAAAGATATATCCTTCGGTTCTCTGATCAATATTTTATACCTTTGGTTTATTTATTTCTACACGATAATTATTTGATCTGTACAAATACAATTGATAAATTCTCATGAGATCTAACCCTTATACTTTTCATTGATAGTAAAGTAAACGTTTTGATTTCGCCATATTAAGCAGTTGTGTAATTCATATTTTTCGATTGAAAAAATATGAGTGTCATTTCAGTAGTACGCCCCTCTTTCAGTTGCCAATAATGAAAAGCTTAACTCACAAAAGAGTGTGCTTCTTTTAAATTTAATTATGCTAAGGCGCAGGCTATATAACAGTGACGTCTTACGATCTTATAGTTGGAAAATGATGGCAAAAAAATAAACTTTAATGATGCAATTTCTTTAAATATTTTTTGGTTTTTATGAGAATCTTCCAGTTCATTCTCGTGAAAATACTTCTCATAACTTACTAGTGTACATGAAGTTACTGCGATACCTATAATTGTTTCTCGCTGAAGAAATGAATTATAGCTTTTCATAAACCTGTTTAGTCGCCTCTAGCTATTTCTTCAACCCTCAGTTTATATTTATCCCTTCATTTTATGAATTCTCACTCAGTGTAATAAGTTTACGGAATTTCTTATGGCTTTTTTCTAATCAACATACTTCTAATTGTTGAATTTAATTATACACATTTCCTTGAATGTATATAATCGAAATTTAATCTCTTAATTTATTATAGGTATTTAAACTCTTCAGGTTCAAAATAAAAAATTTTTATATCATCTTTGTTCTATCCTGAATTATTTTTGCTGCTAGTTTCAAAAAGTTAAGAAAATTATCACAAGACTTGAAAATATAACGTCCTTTGCTGAGCAATTTTAGAGGAAATTAATAACGGCAATAGAAGGGAGAAAAAGAGTACTTCTTTATCATTTTTTTTTATATTATTGAGAAAATAATTCGATTAACAAAGTCCAGGCGCCTTGCTTTGATTAGTAAATCAAATCCTTTTAAGAATTTTGTCAAAAGTGATGGAGCGATCTCGTAGAAAATTAAGAATACCGAAATATATTGTATTATCTCCGCGATCTTATGTAGATAGAAGTCTTATGGATGATCAAGTAGGATTTTTATTTAAATCGATCGATAAAGTAGAAGTATATAATTTGTTTCAACTTAATATTCAAGTCGGTGATACGAAATTATTTTTTTTTTTGGAATCTGTTGATGAGTGAAGATAATTGACAAAATTATTTAAAAACTAAATTTTTTTGTCATCTAATCTTGCTAGTTTACTAGCGTTTATTTCGAAATTTCGAAATTTTTATTTCTTCTTTAATATATTTGTCTACTCAAGAGAGCGAAAACAAGCTTATTTTCAAAAACGTTTTTCTCATCTTCTTTATGAGATTGCTTCTTTATGAGTTTTCAGAGGGCGCTAAAGTCGAGTTCTCAAAAAAAAGTGTTCCATGATGAGGAACAATTAGAAACGACATTGTAAAGAGGAAGGTTTGCCACGTGGTAAGTTACCACCTTTTGCCAAAAATCGATTAAATAAAAAAAATGGCGGCTATATGAAAAAAAAAAAAATGTTCGAAAATTGACCTATTTTTGCACTTTTTGCGTCCAGTAAAATATTTTTCGAAAAATGTAGTAGATTACTACATAAAAAACCTTAATAAAGAATCGTGAAAAGTTTCATCAAATTGTTCGAGTGGTTGTGGAGATTGTTTGTCCGCCAGTTAGTGATTTCGAAAAAAACCCGTTAAAATTTTTTTTTTTCCGCTCTATGATGTCATGTCTCTGTCTATTTTTAAGATTTGCGTATTTTGTTTAACTATGTTTTACAAATTCATTTTCATTCTGTCATAAACCTTAGGTTAACAGTTTTGATTTCTTTTTTTTATGGTAACATTTAATCACCACCTTGTGGGACGGGGAATAGATTTAGTTCTTGAAATCACACAGACTACTCGTATTATGTCGTAAAAAAGTTGTAAAAAGTCGGATGATCTCTTTTCTTAGTTCAACATCTTTATTCTATTCTTAGCAAGTTATCACTTTTATATCTAATTTTTCTTACCATTTTTGTTTTTATATTTTCAGCAAACGAAAGAAGCGATTCATAGATTCAGAAGCATCACGTAAGTTTATCGCTGCAGCTGATCCTGATGAAGAACCAAGTACGTCCCAAAACTGGGTTTGGAGAGTTCTCAAGGCAGCATTGCCTTTACAGTTAGCCTTGATAGCTCTATTTTGCGCTGCATGTTTTTTAGAACCTCATTGTTGTGAGGCATCTAATAATGTTAATTTTATATTTACTCCACAACTGCGGTATATTCGTGGACCGCCACCAATCTAAAATGTATTTGTCGATTAAAAATAATATTTTTGCTCCATGGTTCATGATAGCTGTTACTTTTATAAACAGATTATGAAAAAAGATTTTCCTACTGTCATAATTATTACTACAAGTATGAATTATATACAGTCGAGTCGCGTTATGAGCCCTCCTTGGGTCTCTCTCATATTAACGCGAGTCTGGTTAAAAAACAAAGAAAACAAGCCGGACTCATAACGCGATTCGACTGTAAAAGCAATTTTTCTTATGATAGGTGTCTATTTGTTTTGAATTTTATTTTCTATAAAATACAATGAATGATTAAGAAAGCAAGAAAATATATCCGCAAATAAGATTTGCAAAGTTTTTTAAAGTAGTTGTTCAGCAAGAATTTATTCGAATGAATAATTGAGAAATTAAAATACTTCAATCACTTCAGCGACTAATGAACAAATTTCAGTTATAACCATTGTAAAAGTAAATTTTTCGTATATAAATAAATAATGTCAATAAATTATCATTATTTTGTAGACGGCAGTAAGATTTGACGATTAACTTTTTATGAAAAAAATTCTATATCGAAAAGATTGTGATACTTTTCATTTTTAGTCTAAACAATTTTTATTTTATCCAAAGTAATTTTGGTCTTCCTTAATAAATTTTTTTATCAAGAATATTTATTTTACAGCAAAGAATTTTTGTATTCTGTATAGGAGTGTCGAGAATTTATAAAGTTATTACTTTTGTTTTTTTTTTCATTTTTATTCAATTATAAACTTAAAAAAAAAATTATAATTATCAACGTAATAGGGAATAATGTCGGTAAAGACAATAAGTGGGGACACTAGATTAAGTATATTTCAAGTAGCTGATGAAAATAAAGTCCAAAATGGCATTTAATCAAAAAAATGTAAAGAATATAATTAAAGTCTTTCATTAAAAAATACATAGAACAACTACTTTAACTTAAGACTGAATAATAAATAGATTTTTTTATTTTGGAAATTTTTTCAATTTTTTATTAATAAAATTTCGTTACATAAAATGAATATTAGCTGTATATTGATAAAAAATGAATGAATGACAGATTATCATATTTATATTTTAAGTTGATACAATTTTATTAAATTGAAATTATTTGTATCAAAAATTATCTACCTTTATGAATGAATTTGTTAGATTAATGACATTTTTTTGAAGTCTAAAAAAAAATCACAAGTTTGAAATAAATAATATTTCGTTAAGAGTGATTATAATTTTTGATAAACACTCACCTATAGAGGTTCGCAGCTAATTAGTCGTTCACGTCAATCCGAATCAGATAACGTGTCGGGAACACCCGGGATTCTCATGTCCTTTTCGTCCATTCATATTGATTCCTCTATTGATTAAATCTCATTGTTCATAGGCATCGAGAGGGGTAGAATAAGCGATTTATACCAAAGCTAATTAAACTGCTGTTTTGAGAAGAGTTTTGTATCAGTACCCACCTATCATATTCACTCATGTGTACTATTCATTTCATCAAATCAATTTTTTTATCAATGGTACTTTCGTTATACAATAGTATTAATTTATTTTCCCTTATTAAGTGTTCTTGAAAAATTCACTAAACATATGGTATGCAACTAGTCTGGTCATCGGTATAACGGCTGCAATTGACGAAACTCTACACTTTTTTTTACGCATTCATCGTGCTCTCTGAATCCAAAACAGTAAAAGTTCCTAAAAAATAATATACGACTTCATATATTTATAGCTGCATAGTAAAAAAGTTTGGAAAATCCAAAAGTGCACACCTCATAACGCTCATTCATTTTTTAAGAAAAAAATTAATTGTATAATTGATAAAAAAAAAAAATTATAATTAAGTAGTTTCTTACAGAGTATTTTTTATTTTGTTTTTAAATATCAGCGCTCTTTTTTCTTGTCCTATGTGCACGCAGTCTAAAAAAATCTAGCTTGATCAAGTGGCGCCATAGCTTTCACGTGACAAAAAAGAAGTTCGTTTGGCTTTGTACGGTTGTATCGTAGTGAATTTTAATAAAAATTCAATTAAAAAAAAAATACGTAAACTAGGCCACTGATATGAAATACGGACCCAGTTAATTGAATTCTTAAACTAATAAAAAAGGTCCGGTCTTGAATTATCAATTTGTTCGGGAGTAATCGCTGATACATCCAAAGTGGGGTGACATCCGGACGTCCACGTAAAATTTTTTTCAAAACGTTTTTTTTTCAAAATAGCAACATGAGATGTGTTTAGAAAGTAAAAGATGGTTTAATTAAAGTGTTTTTTCGGTGTACATCTACTTATGTTATTATATAAGTGTAATATGGTTGTGATAGACGCATTTAAAGATCACAAAATTGCTTGACCTTGACGAGTCGAGTATAAAGCACAACCTCACGCGCTTCGCGCTATGAGGCGTGCAAAATTTTGCGTCAAAAAACTTAGTGTTGAAAATTTTTGTGTTAAATATTTAACACTTTTATGTGTAAATTTAACATTTATTCTGTTAAATCAACACAAAAATGTGTTAAATATTTAACATAATATTTTTTGACGTAAAATTTTTTACTGTGTGTGAAACAATGAGCAGTCAGTGTCTCAGATTTAAACTCTAGAGAGTAGGCATATTCGAAGTAGATGAACTAATTCAATCAATTAATCAATCTATCAAAATTTGACAAGTTGTTATGATAAATATAGATTGTGGAATGACGATTACTTCAGAAATCTTATTTGATACCTCTGAAGTTTATTTCTAATGCAAGTGGTATGTTAAATATAGTTAGTGTTTAAAAATAAAACTCGACTCTTGAGAACTCCATTATAAGTTATTAATTTCTAAGAATAATGATTCTATAAAAACTTGCGAGCAAATATTCACATATTACATCGGCTTTGTACCAAACTAGCCTTGAATATTTAGACTAGAACAGTTAGACTTGAAATTAATAATTACAACAGTTTGCTTAGCTTCCAACTACACGAGTTTAAAATTTTTGACAAACGTGAGCTCATTTGGTTTAATCTCTAATTTTCAAAACCCGAGGTTTGAAAAATTTTAGCTCTTTTACGTGTCAGAAATCTCACTAGATGTGAAAAGAAAAGTATCAAAGAACTAAATTAAGCGACTAAAAGAAAAAAGTTGTGATTTTGATTCATATTGATAAACAGATAATTATATGGAGAGCTTTTAAAAAATTGAAGAGAGTTACATTAACGCTCAGCGGTATCTCTTTTGTACTGATTATAATTACCTTTAAAGGATTTATGCACTTCTGCATCAAGGACATTTATAAATTTATTTTGAATTCACAAAAGATATTAAAAATTTTAAGTATTTGAAATATTGATGGATAAATCTCTAAAAATATACTCTCAACATTCATTAAATATTCTCTATAATAATAGATTGAAAATAAAAAGTAATTAAAGTATTTCGGATTTAAAAAAAAAAAAACTTCCAGCAATGCACTTATTAATCATTAATTAAAAATATAAAAAAGATTGAAGAGACACGTAGAAGTATACTGTCATGCACTGCCACGCTCACATACACTTGTCTGTTTATTGAACGAGTACTTGGCGCGAGACACGGCCGTGTCTTTGGGTTCTCTGGTAAAATAAGGTAGTTGAATATTTTCCGTTTGTCGCTGGGTTAGCGTAACTCTGAGAGACTGTTGAGAGTTGACACTTCTCTTATTGAATTTATTTTCATATGGCTGCAGAACAAAAATTTATCTAAATAAAATAATGTTAATGCAATAAAGCGATCAAACGTTTTGATTTTGCTGTCGGTTTAAAAAATTAATTTTACATTTTGGCACAGGCTCTTAAGTTCATAATAATCAAGTTTTTATTAGTAATAACAAAAGAGATTCAATTGTCAGTATTAATATTTGTATTTAAATGTAAAAAAAAAATCTGAAAAACGCAATAATGTGAAGTTTACAAGATGTATTTACGTTTTTATTTATAATAGTACTAAAAACAATAATAATAAAAGAAAAGATAATGAATTGCGATTAAATGACGAATGCTTGATAATTTTTTAAAATCTTTTAATCTTTCTCTCGCCAAGAGCATAAGCTCTTATACTAGTTGGTTTTTTATAACCATGTCGCAACCTTTGCTCGTTTATTTCACAACAATTGTCCCGACATTTATATATCATTCCATTATTTATCAAAATATATTATTTGATTTATTTTTATCAAAAAAGCAATGAGCGTGAGCGTACATATCCGCTTGATATAGATAAATTACATAACAAACCTGGTTAAAGATTATTTAAATATAAAATTAAGTTTATTCATATTGATAAAATATCAGTATAAATATTTGTGAAAGATTAATGCATGTGTATGTTTGATTGTAAATATTCTGTGCAATTTTTTATAATTGTGTCCTTTTTTTAAAGCAAAAAACTTTGAAATGGATAATGTTTTTACACCGTTATCAATAAATTTATTTGGTTGCTTTCAATTACAAAATATATTTTCTATAACTGACTTTTATAAATTTAGAAAGACAGTTTATTTACTAGAAAATTCTTACACATATAAAATAACTATTGAATATTTTCTATTTAAATTCAATTGGCTCTCACGAAACACACAATACTAAAGTACGGAAATTGCAGTCAGAAAATATAAAAAAAGAGAAGAAATAATAAAAAAATATTTTGATAGATTCTATCGGAAAACAATTATCGTGCATGCAAGTTATCTAACTATTCTACTAGAATAAACCTATAGGAATGTGAAAAAGGCATGAGCTACTAACCACAGGGTGTCGGAAGTAGAGGTGCGTGAATCGCTTTCACGGCAAGATAAACTGATAGAAACTCAAGATAATAAGATAATTATTGTTGATGAGATTTACCAAATTAATAATTAATTATCAATTAAGGTCGATCACTATGTAATCTACTAATAATTTGATAAAGTTATTGTAATTACATAATTAGCTAATAGTTTTTGTAAATATTCACAATTATGATTCGCATTAT